GTAATTCAGATTTCTGAAGAAATCGTGGAAGAAGTTGACATAGAAGGTGAAATTGAAGATGATGTGGAATACCGATTGCAAGGTTTTATGCTTATATTTGAACATGACGTTAAAAATTGTTACTAAGGATAAAGATTTACCACTTATAGACTTATTTAATCATTGAGTTGATTAGGAGCACTGTCGCAGAATTTTGTCCTCAAATTATTATGTTCCCAACAACAGTTTTTAGCTGATGGCTCCTGCAGGATAGTTTATCCGTCACGTGGAAGTAGTATTCCATCGGGAAGTAGACATTACGACGATTTACAGCATGAAAGGGTACGTTTTCAATTATTAAACAGTACACATTTTTAGTATCAATTTATAACTGGCACCTATATGTCAGTGCCAAAATTGAAGTGAAAGTATAAACTTTGGAATCAAAGAGGATGCCATGTTGCTATAATTAGATGGAGTTGTATTCTAATAGGTGAAAAGGATGAAATGGGCAATAATTTTTTCTTTCGAAATTTCAGATAGGTGTCGAAGAACCAGACGACAATCAGTTATGCAATTCCGAAATAGGGCAGATTCAAACAGGACGCGCCGTCCCGGCACACGTTTTTGCCGTTCGAGGAAATAGGGTAGAGCTTTTCAGATTTTTATAAACTGTTTATAGCAGAACATATTTATTCTATTTGATTTTAATAATTAGTATTTTGCTTATAAATATTGTATTATTCATTTTTTTTTATTTTGATAGGCGTACTTTTAGATTCATACCATTTTCACAGTCTGCAGGTTGCAAACTGTGTTTAAATTGAACTTCAAGTCAAAGGGAATTTTATATTAAAGACAAGATGTGAAATCTTAATTTTAAGACGATTTTTTGTCAGAATAACATCGACAGTCTTGTATTCTAAAAAAAAAAAGAATTTTATAGATTTTCGATTACTTCAATTCTACTTTAAAACCGAGTATTTTATTTAAATGATTTTGTTAGATATATCGTATTGATCGGTCAGGTGGTTCAACTACCACTACACCAGTGCGGACACTAAGCGAGACAAACCGTGGAGCAGCATCGGTTGTAAGTTTTACTGTTTTCATAACTTTATTTAAGGATTTTTCGGCAAATAAGAAATTAATGAACAATTATTTTATAAAATTAAAATCTTTGAAGTTTTTAGTCTTTTCGGGAAAACTTCTCGTATTTTTAAATTTTATTTATTCAGATTTGTGCAGAGCACTATTTCCTTAAATATTCTTTTACTTCTCATATCTTGAAATTATTTGTAGCATTTACAGTCTTTTAGAAAATAGAATCAAATTGGCGAAGACGTGAAGTACCATCTAAATCCAAACCTCCACAAACTGGACCACTCAGTCCACCTTTGGCTTATCGAGCTGCTCAAGCTAGTATTCAACGTAGCAGGGTATTCACTCCAGTATTGGCAGCTAAATTAGCTCCAAAGAAGTGTTTTCTTTTTCCCAATTTGATTTTATTTCATGTTATTTGCATTTTTGATTGCTTTATTCCATTTCTCTTGCTTTTAAATAATTTCTGGTTTGAGTTACTCCAATTTTTCATTATTCTGGTTTTGTGATTTTATCTTTATAATAGTATCAATTATGGTAAGCAGTGAAAACAGTAATTTGAGTGTTAGGCTTTGATTTACATTTTAGTAGTTTATTTTCTATGCAAAGCAACAACTGTAGATATTAAAGAGACTCCAGAATGAATGATATAGACGACACAGCAAAATCAATAATGAAACAATATCTCTTCATATTAATTTTAATTCTTTAAGTTTAATTTAATTTAAGCTCTTTATATGGTTATATGGATAAAATGTTATTTTATTTTTAGGCGACCTCTTGGCTCAAAAAAACCGTGCCATTGTACACGTTCAATGTGTTTGAAATTATATTGCGATTGTTTTGCAAATGGTGAATTTTGCAATGATTGTGATTGCAAAGACTGCAAAAATACAATTGAATATGAAATTGAAAGGACACGCGCTATTAGAATGTCATTAGAACGTAACCCGAATGCATTCAAGCCAAAAATCGGTAATATATAAATAATTAATACGTGGATTAATCGTATAGATTGAAAAATATTTGATTTCTGACGTCGTAAGATACATTCGGGATAGTAATTATACAGCATATACAATCCAATGATCGCACTGCGAGTGATAATCGAACAGTTAAAATGCTAAATTTTACACTGAGTAATAAAGTACAACTGATTTATATGGGGTTTTTATTTTCCAGATTTTTATAAAATTTATTGGATAATGGATACTTTAGGTGTTGCTACTAATAGACAAGTGGAACCAGAACGATTGCATCAAAAGGATGCCATTGCAAGAAATCGAATTGTTTGAAGAATTACTGCGAGTGTTATGAAGTAATTTTTTCATTTTTAAAGCTATATTTAGATTGTTTTGTTGAGAAAGACATTAGAATGATAGTAAATTTCGATTCTGATGCTGAAAAACAGGAAATGATGGCTTATAAGACGCACTAAAACCCCGTATAACAGTTTATGACTTTTTAAGCCGTGTTATGACTATCAGAAATAATTTGATGTTGCTACAAAAAATTGTCATACTTCATTCCTTATCTTCTCCTATTAAAGTCTGTTCATCAATTGTAGAATTCCTGTGATCAGTTTCTTTCTTCCAATAAAAATGATTTTAAAAATGAACTTCAACTTTAGGCGAAAGTACCGTGTACTGACCGATGCAAATGTATATGTTGTCGAAATACAGAATCGGATCGGGTAGCACGCTTGGCAAATACGAAATCAGCTACGGCATTAACTGATATTCGTTCCGCTGGTGCTATAGGTAATACAGATTTTCATAAGGCGACATTGTATAGTGATGAGGAGAGCGATGATGAAGTACAAGAGCCAAGTGATCCAAAAACGTAAGTATATATTGGCTGAACAGGGAAATTGTCATTGATTTTAGATTCTTTTCAGCCCTAAATTCTAATGTTAGAAGAAGTTATATTGAAACAATAACGAAGATTTCTGAAATTAGCTTTGTTTATCACTAAAAATTTAGTTGCTATTTGAGAAAGAAATTTGAGCGATGTTCAGAATTTTAAAGTAACATATGGTTTTTTATCAAACACTTTTGGAGAACATTATTGTGTTATAGCAGTTTTTGTCTTCCTTTATCCTTATTTTCTTGTTCTTATCGTAACTAGAGATCTTTCACAACTGACACCATTTTTGATTCCAGTTTACCTTGGTTTTACATGACGGATGAAGTGGTAGAAGCAGCAACATTATGTCTTGTAGCACAAGCAGAAGAAATTGAATCCGGCGGGCAATCAACGCAAGTAGAAATTGAAAAAGCAATTTTGAAAGAATTTGGACGTTGTTTGGGGCAAGTTATTGAAAGTGCGTTGAAGAATTCGAAGAAAACCATAGGAAGCTAACGATTTTTATCGATTTTCGATGCGCATTCTGAAATATTAGAGAGAATTTTTTATGTATATGAATTTCATCTTTACTGTCTATACTTTGCTTTTATTTGGACTATTTATGTTCGTATTTTCTCAACTACTATAATTTTCCGTTCTGAAAGAAGCTTGATATTATTACGGAAAAAAACTAGTGTCATTCCGAAGAAATATTGATATGCTTGTACTTTATTTTAATCTGTAAATGATATCGTCTTGATTATTTTCCAGTGAAGGATAATTATACGTTATTTCATTAAACCTTAGAAATCAAAAGCAGGTTTCTATTCCGAAGTAATAATAAAAATTAATCCTCATGGCGATGATTTGAGTAAATAAGGATTTAAGTAAAACTAAACATGTATAAATTCAAGATTCGGTGAATTGGGTAGTATTATTTATAATAATGCCGATATCAATTTTTATTCTCATTATTTTGCTACTTGAACATTTTGTCATTTTGATAAGTTTATTCTTTCGATTCCTTTTTATACATATACCTTCGTCCTTTGTACGGTAATCTTTAAAGATAAAAAGGCAAAAGGCCGATTTTCACTTTTTTTATGCTTGAAATGATTGCTTGGGTGAGGTTCATATGTTCCGTATTCATATTTTTCCTAAAGTTGGCATTTTGAATTTGTGTTTTTCTCCGTACAAACACTATGTTATTTAAAGCAGTCGAGTTAGTCTTTTCTGGGCTGATAAAGAATTCGAATTTTTCATTTTACACCTGTATATTTAATTTATCACTCACAGAACAGTTGTTTAAAAAGCTTATCAGCTTATCATAAGCGGTTGCCATTTATTGTTACATGATCGAAAAATATTATTATTTTTATTATTATAACGATAAGTGCAGTCAAACTGCGAATATAATATCTTTTTATTTGACTAGAAATTATTGCAAGTAATGATGAAAATTATTGCAGTAAAAATAATCATAATAAAAACATGACTAATTATCTATCACTTCATATCTACTACTGTTAATAAATTCAATATTGAATTATTTCTTTGTGCATGTAATTATTATTTCCCTATCATCAGATGTTTAATCATGATGGTACTGTACTGTGCTTGACGATTGTTTGCTCAATCATATCCATATAGGCAGATGATGTATTTCATAATAAATATGATCTGTCATAGTTGATGATTTTGTTGATATTATTTGTATCTAACAATCGTTATCATAATAGATTAATGACATCGATTTTAACGGATTGATTTAAATGATAGAACATTGTATCAATTTTTGAATTAATCCATTACAAATATTTGAATAATCGATGATTAAGGTGTTTCTGCCATCTATAAAGGACAAATTCGCATACACTTTGCGATATGGTATCTTTGTTGTAATAGATACAAAGCTATAGAATTCACACAATTCAATAAATCTGAAAAAAAACTCGCTCTCGTCGAGAGATTTGAATTTCCTACTGAGTGTGATGGTAATAGGATGCGGCCAAAAGCTTGATATATTAATTAGGCTTTTGGCCGTATCCTGATATTATTCAAACGATAAAGAAATATGGAGGATGGGGAATCGAACCCCGACCTCTCGCATGCAAAGCGAGCGCTCTACCTCTGAGCTAATCCCCTTGTATAATTATAGATTACAAAAATTGTGGTAATTCTGATCCGATATTTCGAGAATTCTTGTTTGAAATCAAAAAAAAAAAAAAAAACGGAGCTTCTAAATCAGTACTGATACCTTTCTATGCTTTTTTAGTCGTTTTTTGAGAATTTTTTTTTGTTATCAAATTTTGTCATGATAAATATAATTATGAAAAGGTCGTTGCTCGTTAAAGATGTAATTTTTATATCATACATTGTATATCTATCTACTTATCCTAATCATCATTTTATCACAATTTATTAGCTGATTAGCTCTTATCATATCTTTTCCCGCTTCCTATGCAATCATTAATTGAATATACTGCATAGGCGATAAATCTTTTCTCGCCAATATTTATAGCTTTATTTTGAGAATGTTATATGATAATTTTTTTCGATTACAGCATAATCATTGGTAGAAATTACAGATAAGTAAATGATAATTTATAGGAAGTATTTATAAAATAGTAGTATTTTTAAATTCAAAAAAAAATTTAAAATATTTGAAATGTTTTTTTCTGAAAGAAAGAAAGAAAAATGAAAAAAAACTTTAAAAATTAATCGATAAATATTGTAATTTAAGTATTATTTATCGATAATTATTATTCCCTCGATAATAATCAATCATAAATTATTATAGATGCATTTTCATCAAAATTTAATTCTTTACAAAAAAAAGAGAGAAAAAAATTGGCATAATCGATACCAATATATCTGATATAGATAATAGTATATTTTTATTGAGTATTATTTTATAAATAATAGGTTATCGATAATCATTCTCTCCTATTTTTCCAATTTTTTTCTCTCTTTATTCCGTCTTTCTATCTCTTTCCTTTTTCTCTCTCTCTCTCTCTCTCTCTTTCTCTCTCTTTTCCTTTCTTCGATATCGATATAGAAAGTTTGAAATATGTATCTTTCATTTAACAGATAATAGGAGCAATAAATTGGAATCAATTGATGGAACCAGAGCATTCATCCATAATAGCCTATTATTATTATCATTATTATTATTATTATTATTATTATTATTATTATTATTATTATTATTATTATTATTATTATTATTATTATTATTATTATTATTATTATTATTATTATTATTATTATTATTATTATTATTATTATTATTGTTATTATTATTATTATTATTATTATTATTATTATTATTATTATTATTATTATTATTATTATTATTATTATTATTATTATTATTATTATTATTATTATTATTGTTACTATTATTATTATTATCATTATTATTATCATTAATGTTGTTATTGTTATTGTTGATGATATTGTTTATTGATTCCCTTCTTGTAAATAAATAAATTTAGACTAGTTGATTTATTTATAATTTCGATTTTTCAAATCTTCACATAATAGTTAATATTCCCAGAAATGTTTTTATTTCATCTTATTGTTTATAATATATATTTTCTTTTATCCATTCATTTCCATTCATAACAAAAATGAAAGAAAATTGCTTCTTTATTCATGTAGCAAGGATATATTATCGAATATTTCAATAACAAATAATGTTAATAAGATATAGTATGACAAATACAGTATGAACTTCATGATATTTTTCTACCATATCCCGTTCTCCTATCAAACATTTCATATGGAAATGAAGTGAAATACGATATGGAATATGCATTTTTCGAGAATATCACACCTATATTCGGCTTTTCTTTACATCCAGCATATTTCGTGACCATATCATTTCTTATTATTTGAATCCATTTGTAATTCAATTTCTCGAAATTATTTTCCACATGAGCTTTTTCATACATCACTCGTTATTTATGTACATTTTCTCAAGATAACATATTATTATCCTATCAACATCGTACTGTAAGTGATACAATAAGGGATATATACGATTGATGATAAAAATATGCATCATTCTTAGATACACATATCAAAACAATGTTTCATTCTCGATGCGATACTATTTGCCAACATTAGATAAGAAACTTGCAAGATTATTTGCTTGGTATACGAGCAATTATCTTGTTGATTATTATCCTATATTTATTGCTTTTCCAATTTTACTTACGAGTATTTTGGCAATTGGCTTTATTTGGATTAATGAACTTACCTTACTTGATGCTCGAAAATTATATACGCCAACATCGGCACCAGCTTGGACAGAAGAAAAGATTATGCGAGAAGTTGGTTAAAACTTGAATAGTTAAAACTTGAAAAATGATTCAAATTTTATATTACAAATTAATCCAATTTTTACCACTTTTAACAAATTAAACCCATAATAGGATAACGATATAATTAGGAAGAAGGATTACTGTAACGGATATCGTAACTCAACGACTACTGTAATTGACTATCAAATAAAATAAATTAATTTTTTAAGTAAAAATTATGATAAAATAGTGTATGATAAACAAAAATTTTATTTTTAAAATAAAAAAAAATTAAATTAATAAATTTATAGCTATGGCCTATACGTATCAATGAATTTTTACCTGAAAGAACATTTGAATGGAATCGTTATTTATATGTAGTTGTACATGGACGCATATATCCCGATGGTACATTTCCAAATATTCTTGATGATTTATATTTGAATGAAATTGAATTATTGGAGCGAAGTATTGCGGAGAATGTTTCATGCTCGATAAATGATGATGAATGGTTTATTAATTTTACAACAAAATTTGGTGATAAAATTTATTTTCAGGTATTCATCAAATATTTTGTATTTACTAAATGAAATTAATTATTTCTTTAAGTTTCAAATTTTTCATCCAATTAATTTATTCAATATTATTAGCTATACATACATACATAAAGCCATTTCAAGGATTTATGTTTAAATTGGTACGGTGAATGTTATCGTCAAACAAATTTGATTAAATTACTTCAAAATCGTTATCAATTGGAAAAACGTGGTATTAGCATTACCTATCCTCGTGCTAATACAAATGGAACATCGATATATTTAGCTTATAATATTGGTGGTGTAGAGGTTGATAAAAATGATACAATTACGGTAATTTTTTTGTTAAAATATTTAATAATTGATATATTTATAAATTAATTTTTAGTAAAAGAAAAAAAGGCCTGAATCTCTAAATAGCGATAGTTTTTTTAGTTAAATTTGGAATCTTAAATTATTGATGAAATTAGTTTGCTACTGTTTGATTTTTTCGATTAATAAAATGAAAAAAAATGACATATGGAAAGGAAATATAATTGGAAAATGCTATTATATTTTTTTTTATTACTTATGCATATAATTATCTTATATAATTAATATTATTAATTAATTACTCTATCATGATTTTCATAACTTTATTATCAAATCTATCATTATTCGTCTTTGTGTTGCAATACTCGTCATCGTTATCTTTTCCATTATTATTTGCAGTTATTATCATTATAAGCTTTATTTTCACATTATCGCAGCCCTCGCCCCTGTTACTGTTATCACGAAGATTATCATCGTAATCATCATCGTAATCACTATTATCACCATAAGCGTCAACACAAGGGCAGAGAAGAGATAGATCAGTAGAGCCTTCTTAGCTCAGTCGGTAGAGCATCAGACTTTTAATCTGAGGGTCGCGGGTTCGAGTCCCGCAGAGGGCTGTGCGGTTTATTCCGCCGTCTCCCTTTTTTCATTTTTATTGAATTTAATAAATAGTTTCTAAGCATTTGAATATACGGCTAGGAAAGAGGACAAGAAATTAGGAAATTGTGAAAGAAGAAGAAAGGCAAAGAGTGAAAGAAAACAAAATAGATATGAATAGAAAATGGAAAGAATTGGAGAAATGAAGTAAAAGGAAAGAGAAGACAATTATAAATTGTAGAAGATTAAAGAATACATGGGGTGACGAGAAATACGTAAGATATAATAAATTTCCAAGTACTATTCAAAATAATTTACAATTAAATAATATGGGTTGATATGCGAATTATAATTGATAAAGAAAAAAAAACGAAATAAAACGACATCATTGATAGCTTTTCTTTGATTGGCAAATAATTGTCTTATTTGTCAAATAAATAAATTTATTTGACAAATAATTAATTGTCTTATTCGTTGAGCAAATTATTTACTATCATTTAACAATAGATATATTTGAGTATAAAAATTGTTATTATATGAAAATCAATAGGATTGATTGATCTCTCGGAACTGAAATGATATCTTTACTATACACTAAGCGTAGTTGCTAAGCGCATATTTTATCGATATATTTGTAATTATTAACATCTCTCAATTGTTTGTATATTTTTAAAAAGTTTATGAGAAACAAAAATATTTTGCAATGAAAAAGTTGCAGTCAGTGAAAGGTATGCGATTGTGGTATTTTTACGCTTTGATCAGCCATATTTTGATAAAATGGCCATTGCATGGGAAAATGCTGCAACTAAATTTATCACTGAAAAATTTGCAAAAATTTATTAATTGAGGTAAGTTTATTATTATTATTATTATTATTATTATTATTATTATTATTATTATTATTATTATTATTATTATTATTGTTATTATTATTATTATTATTATTATTATTATTATTATTAATATTATCACTATTATTATTATTATTATTATTATTATTATTATTATTATTATTATTATTATTATTATTATTATTATTATTATTATTATTATTATTATTATTATTATTATTATTATTATTATTATTATTATTATTATTATTATTATTATTAATATTATCATTATTATTATTATTATTATTATTATTATTATTATTATTATTATTATTATTATTATTATTATTATTATTATTATTATTATTATTATTATTATTATTATTATTATTATTATTATTATTATTATTATTATTATTAATATTATCATTATTATTATTATTATTATTATTATTATTATTATTATTATTATTATTATTATTATTATTATTATTATTATTATTATTATTATTATTATTATTATTATTATTATTATTATTATTATTATTATTATTAAT